ATATATGTATATATATATATTTTTTATTTTATTTTATTTTTTCTTCTTAAAAGAATCGGTATTTGGCAGAGGCCCAAATACTGATTCCTTATGCGCTAGGCCCTATGGTGAGAAGCTTGCGCCATGTGCTATTATTCGAGGACCACCGCGCCACGGGGATTCGAACCATTGACCTGAGGGGACTTACAGTAACCCCGCCAGCCAACAGGCCATAAAAAGTAAACACCAACCCAATGATTTCAAATTGTGCATATCATACATCTTACACAAAACAAGGAAATATTTAGGTTCTACCACCACACGTCCCTTAAAGAATAGGCATCTCATCTACCTAACCCCAAACACAACCTGCAATTTCTTCTAGAATAAGCTATGATCACTTCTTCACTATGAATTACAAATTGACCATCTTATAACTGCAAGAATACAAAATCATAAACCTGCCTTAGAAAGAAGATAAAAAGTCCATGTAAGCACTGCCGCAGATGTTTCGTGTCCAGCTATTAGCAATGTCATCAAATCGTCACGGAGCTGCTTGCTGGAAACCTGTCATTGAAGTATAAGGATGTACATCATAAATAACTTTTAAAGATACCATAATGGTCTAATAATATATAATGTGTGACACCATACATCGTCTCCTGATGCCAATAAAAAGTGTAGAATGCTAGGATCCTGCTCGTTCATGTACTCCTCGTGAAATTGCAACTTCTCTTGATCAACCATTCTCTGCTTATAGTAAATACAATGGTGATTTGGTATGGCGAAGTAGTATAAAGTATAATCTCACATATTTAACAAATGCACTTCTGAGCTCAATAATATATTTAACCAATTATCAGTCATGAATTTGGTTAAAGAAATCCCTCACGCTAAGTTATGCAAACATTCAAACAGTATACACCATGCTGTAGGCAACCTAATAACCCATCCTGAAGTTCATGCACTGTCATGCTGTTAAAATTGCATGTTTACAGATGATAAACATTACTTCCGATACTTTGTTAAATAATTTAACTTATAATCTCACAAATCAACACTAGATAGAATAGACTATTACTTTACAAACCCTCTGTTGTACTTCATTCACGGTGCAAAGCACTATTACCCATGGTACGGAAGGAAACAATTAGTTCCATGTCTAAGTTGAGAGTTGTGAGATAATCATGATCAACTTATTAGGATAATAGTAACAAGCAAAAACACAAAATGAGAAATCAAAAGCAAAAAATACAAATAGTTACACCAAATATTTGTGCATTTTGATGAGATCCGCCGATACGCAGACAACGAGCCGACAGGATTGCAGACAACGAGGATAAACGCTTGGGTGGGGCCCACACAACCGCTAATACAAGAGACTGAGAATCAATGAGAGCTTTAGGGAGAAAGTTTGAAAAGAACCTTTGAGACTTGAGAGTATTTACAAAGGCTAACTGTCTTGTGTTTGTTTTATGTCTTGCATAGGTTGTAGTTTTTGTTTTATGTCTTGCATAATATTTTCGTCCCTAGCGGAGTCTATGGTTTGTGAAAGACGACTCATCTCTCGAACAGTAGATCAACGTTGTATCATATTTGTTTTCATTAGTATTAGTAAAATCAATCTTCTTTTGTGTTTTCACACCTATCTATTTTAATTTATTCATTGTTTTTTGTTCCAGATCGTATCAAATTGGTATTAGAGCGAGATCTTGGAGAAATGGCGGCAAAGAAAGTGGATGTGTTGGAAAAAAAATTAGGGCAAAACAAATTGGGAATGAAATAAATATTTGCCACCAAAGAGAACCGAATGGATGACCGATTTGGGAACATGGAGGAAATGATGAGAGGCCACTATGAGGAAATTAAAGATACACATGAGTATGTGTACGAGTGGAGTGATATTTTGCAGTGAATTGTTTAACTGTGGGAGAGAAGCACATGGCAGCAGGATTATATTTGGAGTATGGGCGCAAACGAGTCGAACAAGAGCAAGCCTAAGGCTTGTTCATGTTCGCCTAGTTTAAATTTTTTTTTAATGTTCTGCTCATGTTCGAAATAGCTCGTAAATTTTCTGTTTGTGTTCGACTCGAAATAAAAAGTTATTAAAATTTAATAAATCATATAATTTAATTTAATTATAAAATTTAATTTTTATTCTAAAATTACCGTAGCTTGAGTTGCGAGAGTAGTCAAGCTAAGGAGTAAAAATAAATTTGATAGGCAAAGATTCATTATTTATAGAGGCTAGGTGAAATATTTTTCTAAAATTATGTGATATGGGACTATATCAATTCAACGAAGCTTGGACAATGGAAAGAAAACGCATACAGTTACACACCAATAATTCTTATGACTTGAAATGCTAAATATTTATGTATATATTTTTTTCTATTTTTATGGATGGGAGTCATGGGACCCGCTGACAGCAGCAGTTTTGGGGAGGGAAATTTTTTTAGCTTTTTCACACATACAAACTCATTCTTATGTATCTAGATATCCAATATAAAATTTTTATTTTTTATTTATAAGCATAACAAAAACTATTTAATTTTTTTAAAAATTTTCATATTATATAAATTTAATACAAAAATATTATTTACTTAATATTTAATTAACTTGAGCCAAATCGAGCCGAGCACGAACAAAAAAACTTTTGTTTGTGTTCTGCACGCTTATAAAATGAGCTCAAAAAATTTATTTATGTTTGGCTCGTTTGCTTAATGAACGAATTGAACACGAGCTGTTTGGGAACAATGAGTTTTTTTTTTTTTTTTACAACCCTAGTTTAGAGAGAAAAGGACTTAGCATGGTTTCAGAGGATGGAGGCAATGTACCAGATGCATGTGTGCGAGAAGTTTAAGGATTATTTGTTCGAACGTTTTTGAGTCATCTGGGAAGGAGACCTATATGAGCAATTATATGTTTTGATTTGGGAGAGGACGGTCACGGAATACAAAAAGAGATTTGAACTCTTATTAGGGCTACTAAGTGGTATTTTGTCAGCAAGACTGAAGAGAAATTTCTTAAAGGGCCTGTAGCCCGACATCTGAGCAGCCCTCCAACAGTTGAGATTTCGGGGATTGGAAAAATGATGGAACTCACCCAAATGATGGAAGTAAAGAAATAGGTGAAAAAAACCACAAAGGCACGCCATGAAGGGAATCTATAAGGGTGCCTCGATGGCCATGACACCAAGGACCTTGACAGTGTCGTTTTAGAAAAGACGCCAAAGGAAAAGAATATGGAGACCATTTTAGGGGCAATTTCAAGCGTCTCACTGATGTTGAAGTGCACGATAAAAGAGCAAAAGGATTGAGTTTCTATGTGACGAGAACTAGACCCCATGCCACTGTTGCAAGTAGTGTGCGTTTCAAGTTCTTATATTTCATGAGAAGGAGGAGACGGATAGTGAGGAGTCGGAGGAAGACACGGTGGAGGAAGATGTGCATTTGCACTTGGAAATAGAGGAGGTGTCCCTCAATTCAGTGATGAGAATACTCCAAATCACTTTATGAAGGCAAGAGGCATATTGAGGAGCAGTCGATTGTAGTGTTGAAGCATAATGGAGCCACATATAAATTCATCTCAAATCGGGTCATGGATCAGCTAGGGTTGGAGCTCATAAATACGGGGAGCTTTGGTGTCATGATGGGGAAAATGATGGTAGAGAAAATCGGGGAATTTACAATGGGGTGGCCACAACACTACATATCCTACGAGTGGTGAAGGACGACTTTCCTTTAAACTTGGGTAGCACTGATGTGATTTTGGGGATGAAGTGGCTACAAACAATTGGGAGATGAATGTGGATTGAAAATTCATGACGATTGAGTTCAAGGTGGAGGGTAGTAAGGTGGCGTTGAGTGGAGATGCTAGCATATGCAAAACTATGATCTCGCTCAAAACCATGGTTAAGACAATACGGGGAGCAGGGTTAGGATATTTGGAGGAGCTGTAGAGAATAAAGGAGATTCAAGATTCTAAAGCAAAAGAGTTCCCTGAGGGTGTTCACAGCACCTATAACAGTTTCCAGACATCTTTCAGCAGCTGAGTGGATTACTACCACCAAGAGAGCGCAAGACACCATTAACCTAACGGGGGGTGTTCATCCTATGCTGTCATGTCATGTCGATATCCCCAGATTCAGAATAATGTGATGTAGAAGTTGATTTGAGAGATGCTCAAAGCAGGATTATTATACCCAGTGTGAGCCTCTTTTCCAGCCCAATCCTATTGGTGACTTTTAAGATTCCATGCCTTAATTTTTTCGAAAAATAATTTTAAAACATAGATATTTGTATGTCTGTGTGGAAGGGTGGGTGGGCGCGTGCATGTGTGCATGTGCATAATAGGAATTTTACTTGCTTTCATAATATGAATTTACTTGAGTATCACCATGATATGAAACTCAAAAAATAAATATATAAATACTTCTACCTATAATTATTAAAATTTAACTTTGCTTTAAAATGTATTTAATTTATATTTAGTTCAAACAATTTTGGGAGAGAATTGCATTCAAAATAAATTAAAATGATTCGGCCATCAAATACATGTCAAATAAACTCAATCATTTTTCTTCATAATATTCTCCTTTTTACTCCCAGTCAGTTCAAATACCACCTAAATTATGCATTTATAACTAAAACAAAATATAATATAATAATAATAAATTAAAATTTAAAACAAATATTATTTTTTTCACAGAACACTGATGATGTGCACGTAGCCAAAGTGCTTTGATAGTTAATAAAGATGTCCCAAATACTCTAATGGTTATCCATATCTCGAGAGAATCTTATCAAGAAAAATATTGGCTCTGGTTCTATATATATAACATACCTTGCATATTGCTATCAGTTCATCAAGAGTGTCATTGATCAACTTCAGAGCTTTTGTGACCTTCTGCTGTCTTGGAGAGATATATTTCCATATTGGAATTTCCCAAGTTGGTATTGGGGAAGTACTTCGCTGCTCTGCTTCTCTCAAGACTGTGTAAACAGCCTCCACAATTCCGTAGTGGATAAAAAATCATAGATAAGAGATATAATAAACAAAGTGCACGGAAAGAAGTTAAGAAGTAAATAAACTTACATCCACAATTCCATAGTCTAGTGTTAAAGAATCAAAATCATAGTTAAAAACAGCCTTCCCAATGATATCTAAGGTCAGCCGTGAGAAAAGTGACTCCATATCTACATCTTCTCCATCTGATGAAGCTCTATCCAACTTCTCACAGAGTCTATATGAAGCTTGCCCAAAGAGGTTAATCATGGTAGCCACATACTGTTGATGAAACAAAATTTACCGTATTGGCTATGCCAAGGACAGCAAAAGAAGTACATAAACAAACTAAACAGTACATATTTTGCAACCCCTTTAGGTGCCGTAACAAAAGAGCAAACTTGTAATAAAATTGTAGCACCTTCTTATGCAACGCGGGGACAATTGCTCTTCTCCGAACCCTCCATATCTCGCCATCAGCTGGGATTAATCCTTTCCCCATGACAAAGTCAAGAATCTCGGCTAGAACGCCCTTAAACATTATTGGGAGGAGCATCAACTAAGAAGAGCTGTTTGTTTTACCAAGGAAAAAAAGCGAAGTTGAAACCAAATGAGAACAAGAAAGAAAACCACCTTGGAGTAAGCCTTGCAGTTATCCTTAAGAATGTGCTTAGCTAGTACCGGATCAGAAACTATCAAAAATGACTATTACCAAGAAGAAATCAGAACAACCAGTTCCAGAATAGTCGTAATTCGTAGTTCAGTATTTGTAGCATCAAGTCTACCTTGGGCCCAAAGGTGAGACGAAAGATACCGCCGTAGATGAGGTATAGCTCGTAAAGAGGAATGAAGAAGGCCTGACCTCCCACAGCCTTGAATGACCCCTGGGCCTGAGGAATCTCCGTGTACTCGCCATCGCCCAATTTAACCAACAGATCCACTAAAAACCTTCCAGACGGCCCAATCTTCGAAAGCACATTCCTCAGCATTGACGCCGATCTTTTTTGTTTCACCAGTCCAAAGATAAAACTCAAAAACACTTATTCCAATACTCAATCAATGGGAATACGATAGAAACGAAAAGAACGAGACGAACCCAAATTTCTGGACGGTGAACTCCCCGGAGGCAATGCGGGAAGCAAGTTCAGACCTCCGCTTCTCCTCCGTAATTTGCTTCTCCTCCTTGACCGCCGAGTTCTCGGATTCTCTCCCTGTTGGCCTACCATTGGGGGATAAGGGTGAGGAGCAGCGGATAGAGAAGCCACCTTTTGGCGCAGTGATTCCAGATAGACGAAAGCACGAGTAAAAAAGCGATGAACTGCTTCGACGTCTAGGGGATTGACGAGCCGAGAAGTATGACGAGTAGGATAAGCAATTGGCCGCGGCAGCGGCCATGGTTGGACCTCCTGCTTCGCCTTCACTGCAGGAGGATTTTGGGCTCCCTCTCTCTCCCTCCCTGTCGCCAACCACTCTCTGCACAGAATGGGGGAAAATGGGACACGAAGAGAGAGAGAATAGAAAAATGTTTCGAAAGCGGGACGATAATATGAGATAATTATTCTTGTTTTCATCGTTGCTTCCAAGTCTACGATCATGAGCGCTTCACCTACTTCGTATACGAATATACTTATATTTACGATTGAATTTATTTAAATTTCTAAAATTATATATCGTTAGTGAATGGAGCCCAAAATTCTATTTTAAGAATAAATTTTATTTTCCAATATTTTTTTTTTTGTTGAATATCTAATTTAAATTACATAATTTATTATCTTTCTTATTAAGATTTATAATAGAAAATAATTTATTCATAGAAAAAGTTATGGGGAATAAATTATTTTCTTAATATAAGAGGATATTTTCTTTTCATTATTATGAATTATTTGTTCTCCTATTTTATATTATTTCCTAGTATGGCCAAATAATTAATATAAATTAATTGTTGGAGATATCAAGTGATATATCTTTATTTTTTTATTATTTTTACTATTATAATGTTCTTGTAAGGGTTATTTATAATCTCGTTCATATCAATGAAATCAAGTTATTCCAAAGAATTTCACCTTATTCAGCATTATTTTAAATTTCAATATGGTATAAGAGACTAATTTTGTACCCTAGCCACTGATTCTCCTTCCAAAACTGGCGAACTCTCTTCCTGTCATCCTTCGTACAGGAAGGGAGAGACACTCATCTTGATATTTGATACAGCAATTTTTTTTTTTCTCTTCCTGCTGGGCCTCCCGCAATTTTCCTAATAGCCATCCCCTCTGACTGTTTTTCCCAGCTGTTGGCTTGCTTTGCATCTGGGCAATCCTTCATGATTCTCTGCAGTTCTACCATTTAAACTAGATCCGTTGCAATTTTCTAGAAATTTCCCAGTCGATTTCTTGGAATTTCCATTAAGTTTCTGCCGCTGCTCCTTCTCGATTTAAACCTAGCTGTCGTAAGGCCTCTCCATGCTACCGACTGTCTTGTCCAGATCCTTTGGTTGCTTCAGATTTACTCCATGGAGTTAATCTCACTATCTGCTTTGGATTCCACCGTTTGCTAAGGAAGTTGCATCCTTTGCTAAGGAAACTTTGAATTATATGAAGTTCAAAGCTTTCCTCACTCAAGACGACGTCAATTTACTGGACAAGCATTTCCTGCCTTCCCTCGATAAAATCGAGCGTGTATGCCACCTCTACCTAACCCGCGACCACGCCATCTTTCTCCACAATCTCCTTGGCGGCGATGGCGTCCAGTCTGTCGCCCAATTCAAAAAAGAGGTACTTTTTCATGACTATCGTATCTCCAGCCAGAATGATGATCACATTGCTTTCGCCATTGGCATCGCCCTTCTACATCAAGCGCTCTGCAATGCGCAGACCATCCAACTCCAGTCCCAAGATGATATTGTTGCTATTCAAATTAAGCTCGTCAAGAAGCTTCCTATTGAATCCCTTAACCCAACGTCATTCTTGATGTTTGAGACCAAAGGAGTGAAGTCTGCTGTTGTTCAGGATGTCCCTACCTCAAAACCTCTCTCCAGGGCTGATTTTATGCAGCTTCAGACTGCTCTTGATTCTGCTCATGACCTCCCGATTTCCTTCCAGGACCGTCGAAGCACCTACCTATAGCGGGACATATCCCTTGATGGCTTTCCTGCCATTGGAACTCCCTTCTGTAGTCCTTCATGCGAGTGAAATTCCCTCCTATGGCATTTACTGTAGCCAGAACTTCCTGCGAACATATCTGTTGTCGACTGGACCTTCGGGATTATTCCTGTAGCCGGTTCTCTCCCCTGCAGTCAGACCTCCCTCATGCAGCTTTTCTCATCGTCATATCTACCTCAACAAAATTTTTCCTGCACATTGACCGCAACTTATATATGCTTGAAAATATAAGTAATTAATACTGCTGCTAACAGATTTAATTCCTCAGCAATTGTATCAAAACTTAATAACAGTTATAAATTCGATAAAGATGGATGTAATAAATATTCAATAATTGTAAAGTCACATTTATCAACGCAAGCATACGTATCGCTCAAGTAATCTAATGGAGTCCTAGATATCGATCCCATAGGGAGTAATATTAGAGCTACGAACTAAGATTTTAAAAAAGCAATACTTTAATCGAAACAACAAAATTTAATTTGTTTATCTGTCACTAATAGGAAATTGAAATAAATATGTAATTTAAATAATTATTAAATAACTAATTATGTTAATGAGGTTTTTAATGTGGTATTCAATATATAAGAAAGCAGCATTCTCCTTATCAAGAAATTATAGTGAATGGATAAAGCGAATCAGTTCAATTTGTATTGTGTCAAATATGAGCATATTTATTCTTTACCCTTTGGTCCAGGCATAAAGAACATTTACTAATCATACGTTTTACTGAATCTGCGACTAGGCTGGGAGGATACCGGCTCTCACTTCGGGGCCCCCAAGTTCCCCTCGCCTGAGGGCTAACATCTAAGGGCTAACA